CTAGTCAAGGGCAACCTTAAAGGCAGCCAGAGACGACAGACACGTTCAACACTGAGGAGCAGAGAGAGGGTGGCTGCAGATCTCTCACTGGAAGCGACTGTGGCAAGACAGTGGAGCAACATTTTTATATTACCGAAAGAAAAAAATCTATCAATTTAGAATTCCATACACAGTGGAAATATCTTTCAAAATAAGGATAAAATTAAGACTTTTTTGGCCGGGCGCAGTGGCTTATGCCTGTGATCCCAGCACTTCGGAAGGCCGAGGCGGGTGGATCATGAGGTCAGGAGATTGAGACCATCCTGGCCAACATGGTGAAATCCCATCTCTATAAAAATATAAAAATTAGCTGGGTATGGTGGTGGGCACCTTTAGTCCCAGCTACTCGGAAGGCTGAGGCAGGAGAATCTCTTGAACCCAAGAGGCAGAGGTTGCAGTGAGCTGAGATCACGCCACTGCACTCCAGCTTGGTGACAGAGCAAGACTCCATCTCAAAAAAAAAAGCAGACTTTTTTAGAATATAAAAGTTAAAAAAATTATCACCAGCAAACCTATCCTATAAGAAATGTTTAAAAAAATTCCTTCAGGCAGAAAACAAAATTGAGGCCAGGCATGGTGGCTCATACCTGTAATCCCAAGACTTCGGGAGGCTGAAGCCAGGCAGATTGCTGGAGCCCAGGAGTTTGAGACCAGCCTGGGTGACACAGTGAAAATGTCTCTACAAGAATACACAAAAATTAGCCGGGATGGGGTGACATGTGCCTGTAGTCCCAGCTTATGTTTATTGAAGCTACCTTTATGGCTCAAAATATAATTAGTCTTGGGAAATTTGTATTCTGTTGTTTCTGAATGAAGAGTTCTATAAATGTCAAGTAAGACAGGTTGACAGTATTTTATTTTATCTTATTTTATCTTTGAGACAGTCTCACTATGCCATCCAAGCTGAAGTACAGTGGTGCCATCTCGGCTCACTGCCTCTAGTGAGCTAGAGCAACCTCTGCCTCTAGTGGTTCTCCCACCTCAGCCTCTTGAGTAGCTGGGACTACAGGCGCCTGCCACCACACCCAGCTAATTTTTTGTATTTTTAGCAGAGATGGGGTTTAATCATGTTGGCCAGGCTGGTCTCAAACTCCTGACCTCAAGTGATCTGCCCACCTCGGCCTCCCAAAGTGCTGGGATTAAAAGCGTGAGCCGGCTGGGCGCGGTGGCTCACGCCTGTAATCCCAGCACTTTGGGAGGCCGAGGCGGGCGGATCACGAGGTCAGGAGATCGAGACCATCCTGGCGAACACGGTGCAACCCCGTCTCTACTAAAAATACAAAAAAATTAGCCGGGCGTGGTGGTGGGCGCCTGTAGTCCCAGCTTCTACGGAGGCTGAGGCTGGAGAAGGGTGTGAACCCAGCAGGTGGCGGAGCTTGCAGTGAGCGGAGATCGTGCCACTGCACTCCAGCCTGGGGACAGAGCGAGACTCTGTCTCAAAAATAAAAAACAAAGCGTGAGCCACTGCACTGGCCAGTAGTTTAAATTTTCTATATCCTTAATGGTTTTCTTCATGTATCTATCAATTTTTGTGAGAAGATATTGAAACTTAGCAATATAATTGTGGATTTGTCTATTTTTCCTTGCAGTTCTATCAGCTTTTGCTTCATGTATTTTGAAGCTCTGTTATTAGATGCATTAACATTGATGAATTTTATGTTCTCTTGATGAATTGACTTTTTTAATCACTATGAAATCATCCTTTATATCCATGGTAATATTCTTTATTCTAAAATTGACTTTGTTTTTTATTAATATAGCAACTCCACCTTTCTTTTGGTCAGTGTTAGCATTATATATTTTTTTGCATCCTTTTATTTCTTGATCTATTGTATCTTTATATTTTAAGTGAGTTTCTTATAGGTAGACTATAATTGAGTCTTGATTTTTCTTTTTTTTTTTTTTTGAGATAAGAGTTTCGCTCTTGTTGCCCACCCAGGCTGGAGTGCAATGGCACGATCTTGGCTCACCGCAACCTCTGCCTCCCAGGTTCAAGCGATTCTCCTGCTTCAGTCTCCCAAGTAGCTGAGATTACAGGCATGCGCCACTATGCCCAACTAATTTTGTATTTTTAGTAGAGACAGGGTTTCTCCATGTTGGTCAGACTGGTCTCAAACTTCTGACCTCTGGTGATCTGCCTGCCTCGGCCTCCAAAAGTGCTGGGATTACAGGCATTGGGCCACAGCGCCCAGCCAAGTCTTGATATTTTTTATTCAATCTAATAATCTCTGCAATTTCCTTTGGGTATTTAGTTTTATCTCTACTAAAAATATAAAAATTAGCTGGCACACACCTGTAGTCCCAGCTACTTGGGAGGCTAAGGCAGGAGAATCACTTGAACCCAGGAGGCGGAGGTTGCAGTGAACCCAAATGGCACTGCTGTACTCCAGCCTGGATGACAGACCGAAACTCTGTCTCAGTCAATCAATCAATCAATCAATCAATACTTGTACATGAGGCCAGGCACCATGGCTCATGCCTGTAATCCCAGAACTCTGGGAGGCCAAGGCAGGTGGCTCACTCGAGCCCGGGAGTTTGAGACCAGCCTGGGCAACATGGCAAGATCTCAACAAAAGTTTTAAAAAAATTAGCTGGACGTGGTGATGCACGCCTATAGTCCCAGCTACTCAGGAGGCTGAGGCAGGAGGATCACTTGAACCCAGGAGATGGAGGCTGCAGTGAGCCATCATTGCTCCACTGCACTGCAACCTGGGCAACAGAGCAAGATTCTGTCTCAAAAAGAAAAAAAAAAAAAAAAAGCTAGAAACAAGGATCTTGAATCAACTTATATGACACCAGAAAAGAAAAATATCAACTTGATTTTCCAGTCCAGGCATCTAAAATGTTGCTCTACCCAAGAAACCTGGTCTCAGTGAGTTCTTTAGGGAGGAGAGTCTCAGCAGAGGTGAAAGACTGAGTGGACCTGAATCTTTAGGCATTCTAGGCAGACAACTTTCAGTCTGAAACACATGAGTATGGCCAGCGTGTGGTAAGCAGGGGGACTTACTGTGTAAAAAGTCGAGCACTGGAGCTGCAGAGTCAGCCTCGTCATGAGCTGCAGGATAAACGTAAGCAACGCTCATCTTTTCTTCATCTCGTCTCCAGCGCCTAGGACAGGGCTTGAGACACAGCAGGTGCTCTAAACATGTCCGCCCAATGGAAACGATAAACACTACTGGCATTGAACTATGTATGACACATGTGGCCACGCTAGCTAACTGGACTGCAAGGAAACTCACAGTGATCAGACACTCACAGTACAGGAGCGGTGCTTCGCCCTGGCTCTGCCCGAGAATCACCTGCAAAGTCACTACCGAGATGGGTCCTGGCTGCTGTGTTTTCCAAAACCTTGCTGGTGGTTATGTGCAGAGTATAGAGCCTCTAGGCTGTGAACAGAAGAAACTAGTTACCGTTCCTCAGTAACCAAATTCTGGAGACGCCTGTGAGACAGAAATACACAGAGAGGCAGAGAGAGGACAGAAAACTTGGTAGAAGAACTTGGATACTTTATTGAACTCAATCTGGATTATTAAATCAAAGACTAGGACACAATACAATATAAACAAAACTTTATCAAATTAAGAGGCAATATACACCATGCCAATAAGATACCCAACTCATTATTCTTAGGTAACAGTCAAGAAGTATTGCAACCTGAAGCCTGGCACTCAATTTCAGCAATTCCAACCTGATCTATCATTCAGGGTGTCTTCCATTAAACCTTCCCTGTTCGCTCTGATCAATAATGACCTCTGGCTCCCCTTCCCTGACAGCCCACAGCATCACACTTTTCATCATTTTATGATGGCCAATTTAGGACTTCATTGGGAAGCTTTGTGGGTATATTTTATTTTTACTTTTTTATTTGAGATGGAGTCTCACTCTCTCGTCCAGGCTGGAATGCAGTGGTGTGATCTCTACTCACTGCAACCTCTGCCTCCTGGGTTCAAGCAATTCTTCTGTCTCAGCCTCCTGAGTAGCTGGGATCACAGAGGCATGCCACCAAGCCCAGCTAATGTTTGTATTTTTAGTAGAGACAGGATTTCACCATGTTGGCCAGGCTGGTCTGGAACTCCTGACCTCAAGTGATCAGCCTGCTTTGGCCTCCTAAAGTGCTGGGATTACAGGCATGGGCCACTGCGCCCCGCCTGCTATTTTAGTTCCACAAATGCTACATGGGAAGCTGTGTAGCCCTGTGGTTAAGAGGGCAGGCCCTGCAGCCAAATGGCTTGGATTTAAGACCTTGTTCCACCATTTACTAGCTGTGTATCCTTAGGCCAGTTAATTACCCTCTCTGTGTCTCAGTTTCCTCATTTGTATCAAGGGAATAACTTAGCAGTGTTGTGCTATAAATTCAGATAATCCAAGCTGGACATGGTGGCTCACACCTGTAATCCCAGCACTTTGAGAGGCAGAGGCAGGCTGATCACCTGAGGTCAGGAGTTCGAGACCAGCCTGGCCAACACGGCGAAACCTCATCTCTACTAAAAATACAAAAGTTAGCTGAACATGGTGGCAGGCACCTGCAATTCTAGCTACTCGGTAGGGTGAGGCAGAAGAATCGCTTGAACCGGGGAGATGGAGGTTGCAGTGAGCCAAGACTGCGCCACTGCACTCCGGCCTGGGTAACAGAGACTTCGTCTCAAAAAAAAAAACAAAACAAAATGAAAACAAAACAAAAACAAAAAAACCTCCCCCTCCAAGGCTGCCTGGCCGAAACCAAACCGAGGGGTGGTTTCACAGGCTTGCGCGGGTCCGGCTCGGACATGTGCTACCTCAGGTAGTGGAACAAGCAGGCCAGGGTGGGCAGCCTAGGCCTGCGAGTGCCCGCATCCCCCAGCTCCCCCCGCAGCCGGGTCCGGTATGGTCCGCTCCGGTTGCCGGCTGCGGATTTGGTTCCGGACAGAACGCTACGAGTTCTCCGCTGCTTGTTGTCGCTGGGTTACTGCGGCGACCGCCAGAGCAGCCTTGGCGCTATGGAGGAGCCAGGGGCTACCCCTCAGCTGTACTTGGGGCTGGTCATGGGGGAGCTACACAGGGTTGTGGCAGCACTGCCTATAGATTCTAATCCTTATGGTTTTCCATGGGAATTGGTGATATGTGCCACTGTTGTTGGATTTTTTGCTGTTCTCCTTTTTTTTGCGGAGAAGTTTTATATCGGTTAGGAGTCGGCTTTATGTGGGAAGAGAGAAAAAGCTTGCTATAATGCTTTCTGGACTAATTGAAGTAAAATGTAAACTACTTGAAAAATTTAGCCTTGTTCAAAAAGAGTATGAAGACTATGAAGTAGCGTCATCTTTAGAGGATGCCAGCTTTGAGAATGCGACAATGGAAGAACAAAGTTTGGAGGCAACCTGCGAAAATCTGAACAGGTCCAATTCTGAACTTGAGCATGAAATACTCTGTCTAGAGAAAGAGTTAACAGAAGAGAAATCTAAACATTCTCAAAAAAATGAATTGATGGCAGATTTTTCAAAACGGATACAGTCTCTAGAAGATGAGTCAAAATCCCTCAAATCACAAGTAGCTGAAGCCAAAATAATCTTCAAGATATTTCAAATGACTGAAGAACGACTGAAGATAGCAATAAAAGATGCTTTGAATGAAAATTCTCAACTTCAGGAAAGCCAGAAACAGCTTTTGCAAGAAGTTGAAGTATGGAAAGAACAAGTGAGTAAACTTAATAAACAGAAAATAACATTTGAAGACTCCAAAGTACATGCAGAACAAGTTCTAAATGATACAGCAAATCACATCAAGACTCTGACTGAACGCTTGCTAAAGATGAAAGAGTGGACTGCTAGGCTTGGAGAAGACATAACGGATGATGGTAACTTAGAAGTGAACAGTGAATCGGAAGATGGTGCTTACTTAGATGATCCTCCAAAAGGAGCTTTGAAGAAACTGATTCATGCTGCTAAGTTAAATGCTTCTTTAAAAACCTTACAAGGAGAACGAAACCAAATTTATATCCAGTTATCTGAAGTTGATAAAACAAAGGAAGAGCTTACAGAGCATATTAAAAATCTTCAGACTGAACAAGCATCTTTGCAGTCAGAAAACACACATTTTGAAAGTGAGAATCAGAAGCTTCAACAGAAACTTAAAGTAATGACTGAATTATATCAAGAAAATGAAATGAAACTACAGGAAATTAACAGTAGAGGAAAATAACCGGTTAGAGAAAGAAGAGAAACTTTCTAAGGCAGACAAAAAGATCAGCCATGCCACTAAAGAGCTGGAGACCTATGGACAGCGAGCCAAAGATCTTGAAGAAGAATTGGAAAGAACTATTCATTATTATCAACAGCAGATTATTTCCCATGAGAAAAAAGCACATCATAATTGGTTGGCAGCTTGGACTGCTGAAAGAAACCTCAATGGTTTAAGGAAAGAAAATGCTAACAGACAAAAATTAACTAAAACAGAGTTTAAATTTGAACTTTTAGAAAAAGATCCTCATGTACTTGATGGTCCAAATACAGCATTTGGCAGACAGCATTCCCCATATGGTCCCTCATCATTGGGTCAGCCTTTATCTGAAAAGAGAGCTTTTCTCTCTCCTCCAACTGTGTTGGAAGGTCCACTCAGACTCTCACCTTTGCCTCCAGGGGAAGAAGGAAGCAGCTCAGGAGGCCCAGGGAATCCTCTGGACCATCAGATTACCAATGAAAGACGAGAATCAAGCTGTGAGAAGTTAACCCATCCTCACACGGCTCCTTCTGACACTGGGTCCCTGCCATCTCCGTGGGAACAGGACTGTAGGATGTTTCCTCCACCAGGACGATCATATCCTGATTCAGCTCGTCCTCCCCAGAGGCAAGACAGATTTTATTCTAACTCTGGTAGACCATCTGGACCAGCAGAACTCAGAAGTTTTAATGTGCCTTCTTTGGATAAAATGGATAAAATGGATGGGTCAATGCCTTCAGAAATGGAATCCAGTTAATGTGCCTTCTTTGGATAAAATGGATAAAATGGATGGGTCAATGCCTTCAGAAATGGAATCCAGTAGAAATGATACCAAAGATGATCTTGGTAATTTAAATATGCCTGATTCATCTCTCCCTGCTGAAAATGAAGCAACTGGCCCTGGCTTTGTTCCTCCACCTCTTGCTCCAATCAGAGGTCCATTGTTTCCAGTGGATACAAGGGGCCCGTTCATGAGAAGAGGACCTCCTTTGCCCCGACCTCCTCCAGGAACCAGGTTTGGAGCTTCTCGAGATTATTTTCCACGAAGGGATTTCCCAGGTCCGCCACATGTTCCACTTGCAATGAGAAATGTCTATCCACCGAGGGGTTTTCCTCCTTACCTTCCCCTCAAGACCTGGATTTTTCCCCGCACCCCCACATTCTGAAGGTATAAATGAGTTCCCTTCTGGGCTGATATCGCCTTCAAATGAGCCTGCTACTGAACATCCAAAACCGCAGCAAGACACCTGACAATATTTTTGCTCTCTGCAAAAGTAATTCTGATTGATCTCATTTTCAGTTTAAGTAACTGCTGTTACTTAAGTGATTACACTTTTGCTCAAATTGAAACAATGGAATTATAATTCTTAGGATAGTATTTTGTAAGTAAGGATGATTTAAATATGAATCTTATGAGTAAATTATTTCCACTGTATTTTATTCTAGATAGTATAACCATTTTAATTTGATTAACTAATCCACTATTATAGAAACGATAGTGGGAGTTTTACGTATGTAATCTTGCAGGTGGGGAGGCTTTAAATTCTGAAGGCTGTGTCTTTAAGCCAAGAACTGTATTTACTGTAGGTGTAGACAAATGTGAAAGTAACTTTATGCTTAATTAAATAAATTTTAGTTGATTAAAAAATTCAGATAATCTACATGATAACCATTCTATCACTAGCAGTATTTGCCATGTCTCCACTAAATGTCTCAAAGTCGCCGAAAACACAGTACGGCCTAACAGGAGCTCTTCATTGCCTCTCACAGCTCCACACCACTCTTCTCTCAAGGAACAGCAGCACTGCCCTCCCAGGGCTCAAGTCAACCCTGGCATCACCCTGGACTCTGCCCTTCACATTACCCTGCCATAGCCACTCCATCAGTGAGACTGTCTGCTCTCCCTCTAAATATACAGTCACGTCTGTCTAGTATCACCACCCCACTGTCCTCTCTTGTGCAAGCCTCTGCCACTTCTCCTCTGACATACTACTGTAGCCACAAGCCTTGCCTCCCTGCCTGCACACTGACCGCACCTTTCATTTTCCAGGGCAGTGGAGTAAGGTCTAAACACATCAGCATAGTCATGTCACTTTCCTGTTTGTTTCCCTACCGTCTGGTAGCATGGTAGTGGTGATCCACTCTTGGCTATGCAGAGGAGGGTAACACCCAGGGGATGGTGGGATGGGAAGGAATCTAGGTCCCTGCATATCCCCCTGATCTGGGTGCCACCAGCCCTACGCCTATATTTAGTGACCCTGGGTTCCACCTTACTGGACTGCTCACCTTCATGCTGTTCTGTGCAGGAGAATCAAACTTCCATCTTGTTAGGGCCAGCATACTTTGAAGGCTCTTGGTTACAAAAGCACCCTAACCTGCTATATTACTGTACTATACTATTACTATACTACATTACTATACCATATTATTACTACATTACTGGGGTAACCTGCACCCTAGTGATGTAACAATTTGTACCTGGAGAAGGGGTGCGGCTGTGACAGAAACCTCAGTGGCACTGGCTTCACGGCCAGGCAGTGGGTGGTGAGGAAAGAGGTGGTGCAGGGTAGAAAGCTAGTCATTCCCGCTACGCAGTAAATACAACTTAAAAAATGCTGCCTGCATTAACTGGGAAGACAGATCCTGCACTTACCAAGCCTGTGTAGCTCTAGAAAGAAAAAAAAAAAAAAAGCAAATATGCGGTATGTTGGCTGCTCACTGCTGCCCTTAGCAAGGAACTTTGAAATAAATGAGGCTGAGTAAGAACTGGCCAATTTGCAAGCAGAGGTGGAAGATAAAATACAGTAACGCCAAGCAGCTCTGTCTTCCAGATCCAATCCTGCAGTACTTCTTTCAGTTCCCCTAAGACGCTAAGCTTCTTCCTCCAACACTGTTTTTTGTCAGCTCCCATCCTACATACCCCTGGTCATCCTTCACGTCTCACACATACCTGACGTACCCACTCACCCTGGGATCTTGTGCAAGCCTCCCCATACCATCTCATCTTACCCTTTTCTCATCGGTTAATGGACTCAGCCCAAGAAGCACTAACACGCTCAATGCGGGTAACTTTCTGCGCGTGTTCGCTTCCCACGTACTCGTCCCCCAACACCCAGCCCTGGGCTTGGCACGTGGCAAGCGCTCAGTGAACAAGACTCATGAACAGTCAAGTGTAGACGGCAGGAGAAAACCTGACACGGATACCAAGCACCCGAAGTCCTGCTATGAGTCCCGGCCCATGTTTTAGGGAGCCTGGGTCTGGAGCCCCAGTGAGCGTGTGGTCAAGGTGCCCAGGTTCCGCGAGTCCGCGCAGGCGCGAAACCGGGAGGGCGGTGTCACAACCCCGCCCGGAACAGGCCACGCCCTTAACGGGCCACGCCCTCCCAGGGAGGTGCGCGCGCCTGCGAGTGGCTTGGGCCAGGCCTCCTCATAGGCAGGGCCGCGCCCGCCAACACGAGGCGCGGTGGGAACCCACCCAGGGGCCATCCGCCCTCCCGTCCCTAACGCCCAGGCCCCGGGGGCTCACCACGTCCCCCTGAACCTGCAGATCCTCCGCCCTCCGCCGCCGCCAGCGGCAGAGCGCCACGCTGTCCATGCAGCCACAGCGTCAAACCCTAAGGGCCTCTCAGGCCTAGCCGAGGCCCGCGCTCCACGCCCCCTTCCGCACACGGTCCTGGGGAGCCAATGGGGAGACTGAGGGGCGGGGCGCCGCGGGAAGCGCGAGAGCACCAAGGCGAGGACCGCAGGCAGGAGCAGTAGAGACCGGAGTCTTCTGGGAATATTGGGACGATGTGGGCTTTGTCCGTCTGCCCCAAGTCATTACTTCGCAGAGAGGTCGGCTTGTGGCTTCTCTCTTCACAGGAGCAGCCGTGGGGCTCCAAAGAAAGCATTCTTTCAGGATCCCGCCAAACTTTTGACAACAGCCGGTGGATCGGCTGGAGAAGCGCCCGCCTCCTCTGTCTTATGATTGGTTGTTAGTCCTCGCGGGGCGCGGTCTCCCTGTGGCTGGTTGGCTAATAGATGGCGCAGCGGACCAATTAGCTTGAGTGAGACAGCGGGTGTTTCTGGGAGTTGTGGTCCGCAGGGCTGCCTCGCTTCCGGGTGGGAGCCACTGGCGCCGCGGTGGGAAGGTGCAGAGCATTCAGGCCAGCCCCGCGCGGCACACGACTGTTGTGTCTGGTGGCTGCTGGTTGGGAGGCCCCGGAAGCACTTCTCCTCCCCTAGGCTGGAGGGTACTAGGAGGTCGCAGGTGCTGAGCTGCCAGGGCCTTTGGGCTGTACTGAAGGGAAAAGCGCAGCCACTGTCGGGAGCGTGTGCTGCGGAGGTGGTTGCCGCCGTGATGTTCGCTCCGCCTGGCCCCTGCCGGGGATGCAGCCAACCAACCCTCAACAGCCGGCGGCGTTTCAGTCTCTGGCCCGGCGCGGTGCTGAGCACCACTGAGCCCTCATCGTAGGGCACCGAGTTCCGGACTCCTGCAGCCGCTTGTCTAGGCCCCTCCTGCCTTAGCACGGAGCTCCCTTGATTGCTCCAAACAGCCCAAACCGGCGCCTTTTTTGGATGATTTAAAACGGGGCCAATCCGTTGCCAGCGATTGGCTGGCAATGGGCACATGACCTTGTACGGGCCGTGGGTGGGTGGGGGCTGTTTTCTTCCTGTTGTCCTTGCCCAGTGTAAGTTTCCTGGAGCTGCGGCAGCCTTTTTGTCACCGTGAGGGCAGCTGGGGGGAACCCTAGGAAAGCAGGAAAGCCCCTAAAGCCAGAACAGCCTGAGCCTCTGAACCAACCCACAACTGACTACCGGTCACTTCGTCGTGTGTCTGTGATGTGAGTCCATCATTCTGCAGTTGGAGGTATCCTTTGCACAAAGCCCTGTTCTTAACCATTATAGTGAAACGCATGAATCGCTCTTCGGGCTATTTGCTGCATGATCCTCAGCAAATTAAATAGTTAATCTCACTCAGTTTACTCATTTATAAAGGATAGGATAATAAAGCATAGAGATTGTGAGGATTACATGAGGCCTTTACCTAGAAGATACTTAGAACAATGCTGGACACAAACTAAGTACTCAACAAATGTTGTATTTCTCCTACTAGTTAGTACTCCTAGGACTAATTGTGCCACCACTGGTTCACAGCCCCTTATCAAAAACCTTTCAGGCCAGATGTGTTTGTGAAATTCAGAATTTTTTGAATGTTTAAAAAAGGTGAGATATATTGTATACCCCTATAGCCAAACAATGTTTCTATAGCAGAAATGTGTGAGTCTTCACAAATATTCACCCTAAGTGGGATATATAAAGGTTGTAAAAAGGGCCAGGCACAGTGGCTTATGCTTGTAATCTTAGTACTTTGGAAGGCCAAAGCGGGAGGATTGCTTGAACCCAGGAGTTTGAGACCAACCTCGGCAACATAGTGAGACCCCGTCACTACAAAATAAAAATAAAAATAAATTAGCTGGGCACTATGGTTCCCACGTGTAGTCCCAGCTACTCAGAAGGCTGAGATGGGAAGATAGGTTGCTTAGGCCTGGAAGGTTGAGGCTGCAGTGGTTCCAGCCCGGGCAATAGAGTGAGACCCTGTCTCAAATGAAATAAATACAATAAATAAATAAAAGTTGTAAATAGTCTCTTATCAGTTCAAATGAGTTCACTCCAAGCGTGGGGAAAAACTGATTTGGAGGACTTTTTGCATTTCAGAATTGAAAATAAGGTATGTCGTAGGCCTCTAAAAACGTTTGTCTTGCAGTTGAGATTAGATGACTTTGTTACCCTTTTTTGGTATCACTGGCCTTTATACTTATGGCTGCTTTTCAGATGTGTGTAAGAACAAAATTTTAACAAATTTAGTTTCAAAGATCTGATTGGCTTTTGTTAGCATTGCATGCACTAGGCAGTCTACAAGACAGAAAAGTGCTCCAGTGAGGACCGAGTGGGTGAGTTTGACAGGCAGAAAAAAGTGGAGGAAAGCAGGAAGAATGAACAAATAGCAGAACAGTCATTTCAGTCATTTCAGGATTACTTCCCTTATAGAGGTGCAAACAAAATCTTGGCTTTATGTAATTTGGCTTTCATCTCTCCTGATTTCTCAGAAGATCTTATAAGTAAGCAACCCAGGTTTCAGTGTAGTGGCATGGATCCTTAGCATTAGTGACTCCAGTTTTGGCCTGCTGTCTTTCTTAAATGGATGCATGAGGCAACTATTTGGTAATGGGGAAGACTACTTAGCCTAGGAATGAGATACAGCAATAGGTATATTCAGAAAGATGCAGTTTAGCTTAGCACACTATTTTCCAAGCATCAGTCATGGGTACTAACTGCAAGGTGTATGCTAAACTTCTCCTATTATTTACATAGTACATTTATTTAAATTCTCAATATCTTAAGTTTGAAAAATTTTAAGAATAATATGTAACATCTATAAAATGATGGTTTGAATGCTCACTACTTTAGTATGTTAAATAGATTAATTATTAGAAGAAAATATGGGAGCCCAGGCACAGTGACTCATGCCTGTAATCCCAGCACTTTGGAAGGCCAAGACGGGCAGATTGCCTGAGGCCAGGAGTTCGAGACCAGCTGGCCAACATGGCAAAACCCTGTCTCTACTAAAAATACAAAAATTAGCCAGGCATGGTGGCGCATGTCTGTAATCCCAGCTTTTTGGGAGGCTGACACATGAGAATTGCTTAAACCCCAGAGGCGTAGGTTGCAGTGAGTCAAGATCACGCCACTGCACTCCAGCTTAGCTGACAAAACAAAACTTTGTTTCAAAAAAAAGAAAGAAAGAAAGAAAAAAATTGGCTGGGTGCGGTGGCTCACACCTGTAATCCCAGCACTTTGGGAGGCTGAGGCGGGTGGATCACGAGGTCAGGAGATCAAGACCAGCCTGGCCACCATGGTGAAACCCTGTCTCTACTAAAAATACAAAAAATTAGCCAGGTGTGGTGGCACGCACCTGTAGTCCTAGCTACTTGGAAGGCTGAGGCAGGAGAATCGCTTGAACCTGGGAGGCAGAGGTTGCAGTGAGCTGAGACTGCACCACTCCACTCCAGCCTGGGCGACAGAGCGAGACTCCGTCTCAAAAAAAAAAAAAAAAAGGAAAAGAAAATATGGGAAAGTTTCATGATATTGATTTCCTGCATATGACACCAAAAGTACAGTCAATAAAAGAAAAATAATAGATAATTTGCAACTATATCAAAATTTAAAATTTTGTACATCAAAGGACACTATTAATCCAGTGAAAAGGCAACCCAGGAAATGGAGAAAATATTTTCAAATAGCATATCTGATAAGGAGTTAATATTCAGATTATATAAAGAATGCCTGGCTGGGTACGGTGGCTCATGCCCAGGAGTTCAAGACCAGCATAGGCAACAAAGCAAAACCCCATCTCTAAAAATAAAATAAAAATTGTTTCTCATGGCCAGGCATGGTGACGCATACCTGTAACCCCAGCAGTTTGAGAGGCATAGGTGGGGAGATCACTTGAACTCTGGAGTTCTAGGCCAGCCTGGGCAACATAGGGAGAGCCAGGTTTCTACAAAAAATATATATATATATGTATATATATATGTATATGTATATATATGTGTGTGTGTGTATATATGTATATATATGTGTGTGTGTGTGTATATATATGTATATTAGCCTGGCATGGTGGTGTGCACCTGTAGTCCCAGCTACTCAGAAGCCTGTGGTGGGAGGATCACTTGAGCCCAGGAGGTCAAGGCTGCAGTGAGTCGTGATCATGCCACTGCACTCCAGCTGGGGCGACACAACAAGACCTTGCCTTAAATAAATAAATAAATAAAAACCTGTTTATGCACCACTTACTGTCATCTTGCACACCGCCTTCAAGGGAAGTCTCTCTCAGGTGGAGGGTGATTTGAGTTCAGTCCCACCCTGCCAGTTTCCAGCACCTGGACAAAGCTGCTTGAACCTCTAAGTCCCCTTCCCCTTTTTGGTGCATAAAATTGGAATAAGAAAACCTGGCACGGTGGCACATACCTGTAGTCCCAGCTACTCGGGAGGCTGAGGCAGGAGGGTTGCTTGAGGCCAGGAGTTTGAGGCTACAGTGTGCTATGGTATAACCTATGAATGGCCACTGCATTCTAGCCTGGAGAACATCGGGAGACCTTGTCTAAAAACTAGAGAAATAAAATTAAGAATTGGGATGCTAATAGTATCTACCTCAGTGGAATACTTTTGGGTTTTTTGTTTTTTGTACTTTTTTTTTTTCCCCGAGACAGAGTCTTGCTCTGTCGCCCAGGCTGGAGTGCAGTGGTGTGATCTCGGCTCACTGCAACCTCCTCCTGGGTTCAAACGATTCTCCTGCCTCAGCCTCCTGAGTAGCTGGTATTACAGGCACTCGCCACCACACCTGGCTAATTTTTGTATTCTTAGTAGAGATGGGGTTTCACCATGTTGGCCAGACTGGTCTCAAACTCTTGACCTCTTAATCCACCCACCTCGGCCTCCCAACGTGCCGGGACTACAGGCGTGAGCCACCGCACCTGGCCACTTTGGAGTTTTAAGTGAGATGCTGTCTGTGACTGTGGGGTGGTGAGCACTGTGTCTGGTAAGCTCTCAACTAATGGTAGCTGGTGTGACTGTCTCTAGTCCTTCTCCACCTGAGCATGTAGCCTCTCCCCTTCCTGGATCACATAGAGTTCAGGAAGTTTCCAGAGAGGTTTGACTTGGTAATGGCTCCTGTACTCAACTGATGAGTGTTTGTTTCTGAGCCTCAGTTCCCTCATCTATAAAATAGGAATAACATAGACTGCTCCTGTCGCCTGCCTTCCAGAGAAGTCAGAGCTTCCAAGAGTGGCTGCTGATTTGCCAATGAACACACTCATCTTGGCCATGCCAAGGGGGATCTGTGTGTGTGGCAGGCCAGGCCAAGGAGCAGTTCAATTCAACTGTTGCAACGCCATTACTTCTGTTCTTCCATTTACCCAGTCTTCCCCCTTTCAAACTCCCATGACGTCTTTTAAAAAGCACCGTGTCTGCTCATCTTACTGAGATATACAAGATAACATGTAAAGCCTGTAGTAGGGAGCCTGGCATGGAGTAGGCATTTCAGAGGCACTCCTTCCATTCCCTGCTGCCCTCTTATTTAAACATTGCCAGCACTTCCTTGGGCACTAGGATAAGGTTAGTTTTTCCCTTTGAAATTTACAGTTTCTTTAGATATTATAGTAACAATAATCGGTTATCGTCTTTACCTGGAAAGGCGTCCCTGTTGGATTAGTCTATTTTGTACTGCTGTAAAGGAATAACTGAGGCTGGGTATTTACAAAGCAAAGTTTATTTGTCTCACAGTTCTACAGGCTGTCCACGAAGCATGGTGTCAGGATCTGCTTCCAGTGAGGCCTCAGGAAGCTTTCAATCATGGCAGAAGGCCAAGGGGCAGCGGGGTCTCACATGGCAAGAGAGGGAGGAGGAGGTGCCAGGCTCTTTAAACAATCAGCTCTTGGCCGGGCGCGGTGGCTCAAGCCTGTAATCCCAGCACTTTGGGAGGCCGAGACGGGCAGATCACAAGGTCAGGAGATCGAGACCATCCTGGCCAACACGGTGAAACTCCGTCTCTACTAAAAAAAATACAAAAAACTAGCCGGGCGAGGTGGTGGGTGCCTGTAATCCCAGCTACTCCGGAGGCTGAGGCAGGAGAATGGCGTAAACCCGGGAGGCGGAGCTTGCAGTGAGCTGAGATCCGGCCACTGCACTCCAGCCTGGGCGACAGAGCAAGACTCTGTCTCAAAAAAAAAAAAAAAAAAAAAAATCAGCTCTTGCATGAACTCACAGAGCCAGAACTCACTCAGTACCTGGAGGACGACATGGAGACATTAACGATAGATCCACCCCCATGACCCAGACTCGTCCCACTATGCCCACCTCCAGCACTGGTGGTCACAGTTCAACGTGAGATTTGGAGGGGACAAGCATCCAAACTGTATCACCCCTCAACCCCTCAACTGCACCTGGTTTGCTCCGGTTTTCCAGATTTTGACTGAAATGTCCTCTTCCCAGCAAAGCCGTGTGGACCACCCAGGTTAAAGCAGCCACCTGGTGCTGGCCTGTGTAGCCCAATTCCAGTTCTCCAGGGTGCTCATCACTCTGTGGCAGTTTCTCTTCTGGTTTGTGAGAGAAAAATAAATCTTGGGGCTCCAAAATCACTAAAGGGAAAAGTCAAGCTGAGAACTGCTTAGGGCAAACCTGCCTCCCCTTCTAGTCAAAGTCACCCCTTTGCTCACTGACATAAATGCATATCTGTTTGTCTCCTTTGGAGAGGCTCATCTCAAACTCAAAAGAAGGCAATCATTTGTCTCTTACCTACCTATGACCTGGAAGCCCCCTCCTGCTTCAAGTTGTCCCACCTTTCTGGACTGAACCAATGTACATCTCACATATGTTGATTGATGACTTGTATCTCCCTAAAATGTATAAAACCAGACTGTGCTCTGTCCACCTTGGGCACATGTCATTGGGACCTCCTGAGACTGGGTCACGGGCATGCATCCTCAACCTCGGCAAAAATAAACGTTCTAGTTGGCTCCGGATCGTGTGTGAGGCGGATTCGTGGGCAGCGAGAGTCACATTCAAGACAGCAAGCAGGATGGAGCACTACCGGAAAGCTGGTTCTGTAGAGCTCCCAGCACCTTCCCCAATGCCCCAGCTACCTCCTGATACCCTTGAGATGCGGGTCCGAGATGGCAGCAAAATTCGCAACCTTCTGGGACTGGCTCTGGGTGGGTTGGAGGGCGGCAGTGCACGGCATGTGGTGTTCTCAGGTTCTGGCAGGGCTGCAGGAAAGGCTGTCAGCTGCGCTGAGATTGTCAAGTGGAGGGTCCCAGGCCTGCACCAGCTCACGAAGCTACGTTTCCTGCAGACTGAGGACAGCTGGGTCCCAGCCTCACCTGACACAGGGCTAGACCCCCTCACAGTGCGCCGCCATGTGCCTGCAGTGTGGGTACTGCTCAGCCAGGACCCCCTGGACCCCAATGAGTGTGGCTACCAACCCCCAAGGGCACCCCCTGGCCTGGGTTCCATGCCCAGCTCCAGCTGTGGCCCTCGTTCCCGAAGAAGGGCTCGAGACACCCGATCGTGAAGACCTGCTGAGCCAGCCTGTTCTCCAGGCCTGAATGTCTGGGATGCTTGTGCCTTTTCTGAGAAGCCCTGTGACTGCGCAAATCCCCATCAAGGTTTGAGTCCATGCTTTCCCTTCCCTCTAGCATGTGGGAAGGGACTGCTGTGAAGAGTGACAGGTGTGGGGCCTCTGCCAAGTTCCGCGTTGCTCAATAAGGGCTTACTCTGCCTTCTACCTACAATGCATCTGAACTGCCTTCTGAAAGAGGTCCAGGGAGGGATTTAGGAAATAAAGTTTCTACCTATTTGATGAGCCTCTAAAAAAAAAAAAAAAAAAAAAATTAAACGTTCTAAATTAACTGAGACCCGTCTCAGATATTCGGGGTTCACAAGCTGATGTTCTGTACTTTCCCCCCAACCCCCCAGAGTGCTTGTTCCCCGCTGTCCAGAGCCAGGCACACTGCAGGCACTCAGGAAAGAAGTGTGCCAACAGAGACTTTGCTAGTTAGCCTGGAATCTTTGATTTCATTTAATTATCACAGTAATACCGCAGGACTATCCTCATGTTCAGACAAAAAAACCGAAGCTCGGAGAAGTTACCCATGGTTCCCGGGGCTGCAAGGCCACCAAGTGGCAGACCTGAATTCAAGCAAGTCCATCTGGTTTCCCACGTAAAGCCTGCTTAAGCTGCAAGTCTTCCTGAAAACAAGGTGAGTTAGACAAAAACAAACAAACAGAAACAGCAACCCACAGCTCTATCTTGTCAGTTACCCCAAAGGCCTCCATTTCCCAGTGGCACTTTCTGGGCGCCCTGCTGGGGAGTGACGTGCAAGGCCCAGGTCGTGGCTTTCTGACATGAGCCTCTGTTGCACACCCTTGTGTGCTCTTTATTCTGCACACACCCCTTTGAGTCTGAAGTGGCTTGTGCAGGGCCATGTGCGATTAAGGGCTTTGCCTGCCTCCCCACCCGGCTCCTTGCTGGTCCCGCTTACCACCCCGTTGCCAGTGCCTGCGCTGCCCCGGGGCCGTGCATTCCAGGCTTGGCTTCATGCCATGCACTTTCCACCTCTCTCCTCCTGCAGGCTCCAGCCAGTGCTGCGTGGGGACTTCACGTCGTGCCTCAGGCTTGCTCCTCTGACCTCTCCTGGCACTTGGTCCTCCAAAGGAGCTCCCCCTTCTGCCGGCCATCCGCGTTTGCTCACCTGGACTTGCTGAGGGAGCTCAGGTGCCCTGTGTCTGCTAATCTGTGTGTCCTGGCGCCCAGGGCAGGCAGGGCCCAGAGTGGGTGCCTGCTCAAGGCCGGGGATAGGTGAGTTCAGCAGTTAGCTGTGGGGTGTCTGCTCAGGCCCAGCCCTGGGGGAGCCTCTAGGAGGGGTACCCCTGCCCTCTTGCCCTCTCTGCAGGAGAGGCTCCAGTGAAGCAGACACAACTCGACGTTAAGTGAGGCAAGTCAGTGAGAATGCACAAGCCACGCAGACGCTGCTTCGTGATTTTCTCATGACATCTGACACTTGTATGTTCAAATAGCATCACTAAAGAGTAGCTGCATAGGACTGCCTACGGAGGGTCTCCCGCTTTGCTGTCTCTCATTTCTCCTGTCTAGACTCGGTCTTTAGCCCTCTCCTCTCCCTGTGGACAGGGCAGCTGTACTAGCCTAACAGGATTAGAACCTGAAGGATGCCCTTGTCCCTACAAGGGAAGTCACACATTTGTTTTGGTGAGGGTCATGGTTTTGTTCCAGTATCATTTTAGCTTAGGCTGCATTTTCTTTTATAAGACTCAGTTTAAGACTTTTTTACCTGCTCATAAAAATGAGATTAAAAAAAGAGAAAGACTTTTCTAAATGCAATCCTTATAACAATCCAGGAATACGTCATTAAAACAAAAAAGAAAGTAACAACCTACTATTTTTCAACTTTATTTTCTTTCTTTTTTTTTTTTTTTTTGACAGAGTTTTGCTCTTGTTGCTCAGGCTGGAGTGCAATGGTGCGATCTCAGCTTACCACAACCTCCGCCTACTGGGTTCAAGCAATTCCGCCTCAGCCTCCCGAGTAGCTAGGATTACAGGCATGCGCCACCATGCCTGGCTAATTTTGTATTTTTAGTAGAGATGGGATTTCTCCATGTTGGTCAGGCTGGTCTCGAACTTCTCCCCACCTCAGGTGATCCACCCACCTCGGCCTCCTAAAGTGCTGGGATTACAAGCGTGAGCCACCACACCTGGCCTCAACTTTCAAAATAATACCTCTATGTGCAGACTTGTAATCTAAGCCAGTGCCCTGAATTATTTTCTGACATTGTAAATGTGCTTTTTAAGGACGATAAAGAAACAGATAATTATTTAATATCAAAAGACTTTAGGCCAGGCGCATTGGCTCATGCCTGTAATCCCAGCACTTTGGGAGGCTGAAGTGGGTGGATCACTTGAGGTCAGGAATTCGAGACCAGCCTGACCAACATGGTGAAACCCCATCTCTACTAAAAATAAAAATAAAAAAAATAGCCAGGTGTCGTGGCGGGCACCTGTGATCCCAGCTGCTCAGGGGACTGAGGCATGAGCATCACTTGAACCTGGGAGGAGGAGGTTGCAGTGAGCCAAGATCTCACCCACCACTGCACTCCAGCCTGGGTGACAGAGTAAGACCCTGTCTCAAAAAAAAAAGAAAAAAAAAAAGTCTTTATGACCAGTGCAAATTAGAGATCTATATGACACACTATGTAATGTATATGCCCAAGTCCATCTCACAATGGTACTATAAACACACGCTGTATATAGAAGGTAAGAATTTTATAGTCTGTCATTTTGCATTTTCTTCATAGGTGCTGTTGATAAATAAAAATATTAATAAACCACAAACGTACCTTCCAAAGTCAATAGCTTTATGTTTGACTGGAAAGTACTGTCTCCCATCTTAACCTACCCCTGCTTCTAATAGCTTGACAATGTTTGTTAAATGCCACACACCAATGTCCGTTCTAAGTCATGCTTTGTTTCAACAATAGATTGAAATTTTACCATGGTGTTTTATATTTCATCCTAAATTTTTTTATTTTCAAGTGTATGAAGTCACATTGGTTATGTCTGATAATCCATTTTGGACATATATTTTCATATAAATTATAGGACATTTTTGCCTCTCAGTTCTCACAACATAGTAAGGAAAAAAAAAACCCAGCATGTGGCAATATGACTGATGCCATGTTAGTGTGTGGTTGGAAATAATAAAGATTATAAATGACTCCATAGGTGTAGAAAATAAGGGGAGAAGACTTATTGGGGAGAAGTAAAAAAGCTTGTTTTCTTTATGCATAGCAGAAAGAAGGCACCATGACTGATATATTACTATTCACCTTCTTTTTATTTCTAAGGGGGTTTTTATTAACCCCTTTTTATCAATCAAAATAAATTGATTGCCAGTGAATGCAATATTTTCTGACTATTTGAAATTCTACAATGAAAGCAAAGACATGTAAACTCACATACTACATTTGCTGACAAACAAAAGACAACCTTCCCCCCCCCAAAAGGATTGCTAAATAGTTAAAGATTGTTACAGCTATCTCTTAAAAAAAGAACATTTTAGGCCAGGCATGGTGGTTCTCACCTGTAATCCCAGCACTTCGAGAGGCCAAAGCAGAGGATCTTTTGAGCCCAGGAGTTGGAGACCAGCCTTGGAAACATAGGGAGACCCCAATCTCTATGAAAAATAAAAATAAAAGTGTCTGGGTGTTGTGGCACACGACTGTGGTCCCAGCTACTCGGGAGGCTGAGGCAGAGGATCCCTTGAGCCTGGGTGGTCTAGGATGCAGTGAGCCATGATCACACCACTGCACCCCAGCCTGGGTGAAAAAGCAAGACCCGGGCCGGGCGCGGTGGCTCAAGCCTGTAATCCCAGCACTTTGGGAGGCCGAGACGGGCGGATCACGAGGTCAGGAGATCGAGACCATCCTAGTGAACACAGTGAAACCCCGTCTCTACTAAAACTACAAGAAAAACTAGCCGGGCAAGGTGGCGGGTGCCTGTAGTCCCAGCTACTCGGGAGGCTGAGGCAGGAGAATGGCGTGAACCCGGGAGGCGGAGCTTGCAGTGAGCTGAGATCAGGCCACTGCACTCCAGCCTGGGCGACAGAGCGAGACTCCGTCTCAAAAAAAAAAAAAAAAAGCAAGACCCTTTTTCAAAGAAAAGAATATTTTATTTAAGGATAGGATTAGGCTTTGGGATTCCTTTGGAATTCAACTTCATCCAGCTGTGTTAGTGGTCATGTAGTCATTAAATAACAGAATACTGTTATTCAATAAATATTTCCCATCATAAAAAGACATGTTTCTTTACGGCAAATACAGTTATGACCAATCTCAGTCCTGGGCAAGGAATTATATACTTACCTGATTCAAGAAGGGAGAAAACAGGGTGGTCAGGAATACATCTGTGATTCATTCCCTCAAGAGGCAGTCCAGTGACATGGTTTGGCTATGTCCCCACCCAAATCTCTTCTTGAATTGTAGCTCCCATAATTCCCACGTGTTGTGGGAGGTAATTGAGTCACGGGGGTGGGTTTTTCTTGTGCTGTTCTCCTGATAGTGAGAAATCTCATGAGATCTGATGGTTTTATAAAGGGGAGTTCCTTGCATAAGCTCCTTGCCTGCCTCCATGTGAGACACGACTTTGCTCCTTCTTTGACTTCTGCCATAATTGTGAGGCCTCCCCAGCCATATGGAACTGTGAGTCCATTAAACCTCTTTCCTTTATAAATTACCCATCTTGGGTATGTCTTTTATTTTTGAGACAGAGTTTCACTCTTATTGCCCAGGCTGGAGTGCGATGGCACGATCTCAGCTCACCGCAACCTCTGTCTCCCAGATTCAAGCGATTCTCCTGCCTCAGCTTCCCAAGTAGCTGGGATTACAGGCATGCACCACCACACCTGGTTAATTTTGTATTTTTAGTAGAGATGGGGTTTCTCCATGTTGGCCAGGCTGGTCTCAAACTCCCCACCTCAGGTGATCCACCCGCCTGGGCCTCCCAAAGTGCTGGGATTATAGGCGTGAGTCATCGCGCCGGGCCAGTATGTCTTTATTAGCAGCATGAAAACTGACTAATACATCTGGTCACTCTTAGCATAGTGACATAGAATGTGCACAAACTAAAAAATAAGGGTTTCAACCTAACTGGTGAGAGCATTCCTCTTGGTGTTCTCCAGGAGGAAGGCCAGAGTTTGGGACAACAGAAATAAAACAGTGGCTTTGAAAATGGGGCCAAACTGTGTTCCCCCGTGGAGGGGCTGAGGAGGAGGGAGCGGGGCACTGAGC